TTTCTGGTAATATTTTTTTTATAAAAGAAAATACCATTGATAATTATTTGTGGCATACCTTCAAGTGACAAAACAATAAGATCAAATTAAATTAAAAATTATTTTATTGATAAATTTAAAGATCAATAAATGTAAACTTAATTAATGACGAAAATTCGGGATTGTTAAAGATAGTTATCAAGGTAATGTTAACTATATATATAGATAAATCATCATTATGTAGATAATCAATAAATAGTTTATGTGACATTAATTTTCTTAATTTATTTCTAATAAAAAGATACTAGAGTAGAAGAAAAGAGCTTGTGGTACGTTATTATCACCTGTTGAAAGATTGGTTTCAAAAGATGATCTAGTAATTGTTGATGGGATGAATTATATTAAAAGGGTTTCATTATCAACTGTATTGTGTTTCCCATATTGTTGGTACACCTCATTATGTAGTGCATTGTGGAACACCTGTATAATTGGCAGGAAAATGGAATTCAAATAGAGAAAATGGATACAATTCAACATTGTTAGAAAAGAAAAAAATTTTTTTTCACTTCTATCAGTTAAAATTGGTTTCCTCTTTTTCTTTAGATTGGAAGAACTCATTGGTAGATTTGAAGAGTCAGATGATCGTAATTGTTGGAATTCTCTGCTCTTTACTATATTATTTGATGATACAAATTTACCACCATGATGAATTATGGAATTCTTTGATATTGAAAAAACCAAAACTGCCTAATTTATCAACAATTGTGGTAAAAATATTAAAAATACAATTATTACAATCATTGAAATTATTAACAATGTTAAAAAATTTTTTTAATAAAGAAACCAATTAGTGAAACCAATTATTTACCACACAAGAAATAATTCATGAATATTAAGAGCACAAAAAAATAATGTTATAGGAATTAATACAACATAAAAATAACTTGTACAAATCAAATAATATCCTTTATTAAATTAAAACTAAACTAACGAATAAAATTTTTCAATTTAATTAAACCACAAAACAAATATATTTAAATCTAAATAATCAAATCTTGGTCTTGTTGCATTCAATCTTTTCAATGGTATTTCACCCTCTTTATACATTAAATCTATCAAATCACTTGTCATCTGTAATGTTAACCTCCATAATATTAAACTGTCATTGCCCTCTCCTCCACCATTGTTGTTATTTGGTAGAATTATTGAATCTTGCCTAATAAAAATGATAATATGAACTTGATTGGCCTTGACTTAGATAATACCAAGAAAGGATATATTGATACTGGATTCCATCTTTGTGTATAAATAGATTAAAAAATATTGGTAATGGTATAGAATGAATAGATGATATCTCTGATCCTGAAATTCTGTAACATGTGTTATGAAAGAGTCATTCCTCCTAAAGTTGATATTACCTCTCTATCATCTAATGAAAAGGCATTTGTTGTAAATGATTTGGGCTGGCCATAAATAGCTGTTTGTAGCTACCATTTGCCATAAATAGATCGACAGCCACAAATAACTACAACTGCTGCAAATAGTTTTCAAATATTGTCATTATATAGTGTTATTCCTATATGCAATCTTTGCAAGGATTAATTTTAGCTTAGGAACTTTACCCGCTTTGATTATAGTTGGCTTGGTCTAAAGACCTCCTAAATTTTGGGCAAATTTTAAAAGTATGAAGTCACTTTCTGTCCTACCTTTTAAGAAAATAGCTCTATTAGTTGATAGAATATGTCTTTAGTTTTAATGTAATAGAGAGATTTTCTCAAAAAAATTATTTGTTGTAGAATAGCATAGTGGAAGTTTTTTGTTACACGAAATGTCATACAGAACTCATTGCTCCTGAAACTTTACCAGTATATAGTTGTTACCTCTCTAAATTATATATCAAGTTCAGATCCAATTCAAATCCAGTTTATCACTTACTTTTTATTACCAGAATGTTTGCCGTGTATTGTAAAGCTACGTTGTACAATATAAAAAATTAATGTAACATTTCCACTGCTGTTTCAATTTCACATAATTAAAAATATAATATAAACATTTTGCTAGATATAAAATAATAAATCAAATAATAAAAATATAAAATGAAATATATAGCATATAGTGATTCGATCTTACCTTGACCAAGTAATTTTTTAATTTTTTTCTGATAAATGATTATGTTATAATCTCTATTCAAATAATTGGATCCTTAATAACCCCGTAATATCAGCTAAATTTTAATCCCTGAAATTCTTGTACGGTGAATTTTCAACTTTGTCTGGTTTTGTTGCAGTGGTTGCTGCCAAAACCCCTGTAGAAATCAATCGGCAGCGTTTTGGCGGATTCACATTTGAGGGTTTCGATAATTGGCAGAATTTTGGCAAAGCGTACACTAATTGTTCATCGCAGTTTCAGCGATCATTAAGAGGTTTTGGCAAGCAACCTTAGTCTATATATATTGTTTCAGTATTGGAACATAACTAGATCATTTTGCTTTTTAAGATGACCTAGGTCACATCAAAAATGACCTATGGTCACTGGTCACCAAGGTCGTGTAGTAAGTGACTGAATAAAATGGCCTTGGTGACCATTAGTCTATATGTCAAAGAATTCATTTGTGTGATCACGTGTTTTGTGTAATCACTATTCAAAGAAATAGCGGTAATGTTGTGACATACTTGACGATATTAATTTAAACCATTATTTTTTTGGTCAATATTTTTTTCCCCCTTTCTATCATGTGATAACTATCAACTATACAATGACTTAGCTTGACCCTTAATTAATTGGATAAAATTTTTCTCAAACAAAAAAAGCCAAGGAAAAATGAGAAGTCCTTAGCAGCCGGTAAAGGATGGTTGTTTTTTACGAGCTATCCTAGTTAAGAGAAATTTAAATAATGGTGGTTTCAGTCATTGTCGTCATTCTAGTTATTTATAACAATGTCTTTAGATTACCTTTTTCTTGGAGCATTGTCATTATTATATTCTCTTTGGCTAAGTCTTTATGCATAATAGTAATGATAATAATGGATACCAATACAGAGTCGATTTATTTGAGTGAGTGGGATTTATTAGAGATTGACATTTAACAATTAGATATTTTACCAGGTTGGAATAATTGTCATTAAATTTTTATCAATTCACTTAATATCATTCACTTACAACAAAATGTCAATCAATATACCCAATATACCAGAAGTGTCGATAGGGATACTGTTAAAAACATTGCTTTCTTTGAAATGTACTTGTTAGATTTTCGACAGCCACAAATAACTACAACTGCTGCAAATAGTTTTCAAATATTGTCATTATATAGTGTTATTCCTATATGCAATCTTTGCAAGGATTAATTTTAGCTTAGGAACTTTACCCGCTTTGATTATAGTTGGCTTGGTCTAAAGACCTCCTAAATTTTGGGCAAATTTTAAAAGTATGAAGTCACTTTCTGTCCTACCTTTTAAGAAAATAGCTCTATTAGTTGATAGAATATGTCTTTAGTTTTAATGTAATAGAGAGATTTTCTCAAAAAAATTATTTGTTGTAGAATAGCATAGTGGAAGTTTTTTGTTACACGAAATGTCATACAGAACTCATTGCTCCTGAAACTTTACCAGTATATAGTTGTTACCTCTCTAAATTATATATCAAGTTCAGATCCAATTCAAATCCAGTTTATCACTTACTTTTTATTACCAGAATGTTTGCCGTGTATTGTAAAGCTATGTTGCACAATATAAAAAATTAGTGTGGCATTTCAAAATTTCCACTATGCTTTGTAGAGTCCTATTCTTTTTTAAAACATGTACTTTACTATGCTAACGAGGAATTTGTCCACTATGATCATTTCTAAATTTAGGAAAAAAATTACCAAATTTAGACTAGCTATTAACTAACTTATCTAAATTTGGCAATAAGAAAACCAAAATCACGTGAATTCCTATTTTTTGAAAAATTTTATTACATTTTTGAACGAATTACAAAATTGCTATGGTTGGCTCGGTCTAAAGACCTCCTATTGCTGCGCCATGCGGCCAAATTTCAAAATAGCAATTTTGTAATTCG